CCTGGTTAATATCACCAAGCAGAAATACCCTTTTATTTAGATCACAGACTTTTTCAAGGACTTCGTCTAACTTGCTCCAGTAATTGGCTATAGAATCTGGAGCCCTGTATAAACACCCAACAAGTATAAGTTTGTTTTGTAGTTTGATTTCTACCCAGACAACCTCAACATCATCAGATTCAAGATCAGTTCTGCGTTTTGCAATAAAAAAAAAAAAAAACATATATAAGAACACCTCTTCCTTGTCTGTGTTGTCTATCATTTCAAAAAACAGTAGAAAAAATTTCAGTCAGAATATCATCATCTGTAATTGAAGTGTTCAGATGAGTCTCGCTAACACAGACAATATCACATTATCCATATTAAGCATCAATAATATCAATTTTGTTCCTTAGTGAACAAGCATTTATATGAGTGTAATGTTGTCAGAAATATATTGGTCACTACTTCTATTAGGTCCTGGATTAGGATGCACATCTACACATAACTGTAGGAGTATCCCTTTAACCGTTTAATGAAAGCTGATATTTACATTTGCCGAGTTCAGAGACAGGAAGAGATCACAATATTGTAAATAAATAGGTACATCTGATGCGGACCCCACAGGCTGGACACTGTACATGTACATCTGTTTAAAATCAGTCATTATCGAATATGAAAAGGAACATGGAATGATATACACACGCCCAGACTATGGGTTCCGTAAAATGTAGATCTAACATGTAAAATAAATGTAATAATACGTCAAATAATGATTTGGAGTTCCAATCCAGTACTACTTGTAAGCTAATCATAGACATTGTTATTGTTCGAAACGAATCTTTGTGCGAATACGGATTGTTATTGTCCGCACAATCGAGCATAAGTAAGAAATGAAAAATTAGTACAAAAAAGTAAACACAAAAACAAACAAGAAACATTACAGGTGTAATAAACACATCTTTTACCAAACGACAGCATATATGGTCCATGTGGGGAACATCTTGGGCCTGGTTTGATAACTTCAGCTATATATAGATTTTCATGCTTTCAAAACGTTTGAGCGACTAGGAGTAATACCGGAAACTCTGATCCTTACCATTAGAATGGTATAAAGCGTTATAAACAGACCTGGACAGAATGGCTCTGTATAAGAAAAGTTATGTATTTATGATTCAGAAGCACTAGTCAGATAAAATAAATGCTAGCAATAACACGAGATTTTTTACGTGTATCCACATACATGTAAATTAAATAATAATAATAAAATAACTACGTAACACACAATTTGCTTTGTTGAACAATATATACAAATTTGCAAGCAGTTGACTTTACACTTTAAACTTTACAGCCATGGCGGCTATATGTACTATGAATAAATGCATGTTGGGCATTTTATATTGACTTGGTTCGATTTCACCAGCAAAGGTGAGCTAGGTGGTTAACACACATGGAGATTTGGGAGAATATAATTATGGCACTTGTCATGTTAAAGCAATGCATATGATAACGACTCCTTCTGTATAAATATATATTGTAACAGCCCCTGTTACCCAAATTATTTTATGTGTACCATAACAATTTTACCTTCTGCACGCATGAGTGCACACTAGATGTGGCAATGCTTATATTGAATACCATATTAGACATTACATATGCTCATTAGTAACAGAACAATCTAGTCCAATGTATACATACTCATCACGTGGATATGTAGAGGACTTTGGGCCTACCCGATGCGAACGACTAATGTCATTGAGGGTCACCATGATACCCAGGGTATCATTACATGCGGATAACACAATATCATCGGTGTTTTCCCTTTCGGATTCGGGTATCCTCCTGAGTTTAAGGCAGTTCCTTCTCGAGTACTGTTCTAAATCATCCAACTTGTTCCCAAGGAACTGGACACGTTGCTGGAGTGGGGTGATACCTATGGAAGATACCAGCGTGTCCTTGAATAGTGAGTTACTCAGTAACTTGGCGACCACTTCCTGAATGACCACAGGATCGGTAATGTCATGCATAGATTGGACACTTTTCTGAATATCCCCGGACAATTTTACAGTATCCTCAGACATGATATAAGAGTTATATATGAACACAGTACACGTAAGCACACTATGGAGAGGAAAGGTCCTTCAAATTCACAGACAGTCCAAGTGGAAAAAACAAATATGGCGGGTGGTCACGTAGTGGTTAAGAGTGGTCACTTCAAATTTTTAAGGAGAACTTTCACATGTTCAAGGAGAATAAACACACGTCATCGTACACTGTTCAGATATCTGATCTTACCGGAACATATCATACATTTTTAGATGGTCATGATGAGTTTGGACACATATATCTGTCAAAAAACTTCTCAGCTCGACCGGGACCGGAAGAATTTCGGAACTATCGGCATTACAACTAGAAGGTCTCGCTTTTTGGCAAACCATAGAAAAATGTTTTGGGCTGTTGATCTTGCAGCCTTGTCCACTTTGCGAAAAGCTATATGTCGACGTTCTTTTGTAGCTGGCAGTGATTTGCTTGAATAAAGTGACGTGTTCCTGTTACCTGGCCCTTGAGCGTCATTTATGTTGATGAATGTATTCAGCAGATATTTCTCAGCGTTGGTACGAACTCTGAGCGCTGAGTCTGCTGTTTTGTATCTCTCCGGTGTGTGTGTGACTGCGTTATAGGTGGACCAGGCAAGGATAAATATGGCGTTAATAACCATACTCGCGAAGAGAAAGAATCTGACAAAAACAACAAAGTAAGACATGTACTGTCATTCTGTAAGCATGTTATGCTGTCAAATTCACTTTAAATTCGTTGCCACATTATATGATACTACAAAATAACATACGGGATTTTAATTTAGCTCAAAATACAAGAAGTCAAATAGAATGGTATGTATTTCAGTCGTTCACATCTTTTTTTTGTCATAAGTGTCTACGAGATCAGATTTTTTTTTGATTTTTTTAAATATGAATACATTGTTTGCTATTATAACGGTATTAAGAACACGGGTTACTTTCTTTCGTCTGACCGTTCTAAATATTTGTGACTTACCTTAATAAATTAATAGTTCTTTCATTTGCTAGACATCTGTACATATTATAACTACACTATTGATATTTCCCAACCAAGTGTATCAAGTAAGAATATACCGGTGCTGTTACCAACTTCATTTCCATATAGTTATGATTTTCAATATAAAAATATTAATGTGTCACAACCCAAGAGCCACATGCACTCTATTTTATCAATGATTTACAGTATTTACAGTAAAAGTGAAACTCTAGCTCTGATTGGTCTTTTTTTCAGCAGGTGAATTGACAGATGTGCTTGTAGAGTGATTAAGATAGGCAATAAAACCAATGCACTTGTATGTAGGCCATTGTTAAGCAGTGACCTTATGCAAGTTTAATAGTACATAGCATGTGTCGTATTCCTGCTGAGGTGAATGAGTTGTGGTATCTCTGGACTCGGTCAATGTATTCACAGAATCATTTTTTTCGATCGAACTGTAAGCTCGTATGTGTTTTGCCTTTTTTACGGACGACATTGTGTCACGTTTTATTCAAGCAACGTTTATTTTATACTTATTACATGTATGCCAGGTAAATAGCTGGGTACATTGTACCACAAATTGTTGCAGTCATTCTTCTTATGTTCAGGCGTCTTGCCTACTGGTATGGGTCCTTACAGGGTGGCAGTAGAGACACGCCATAGTTTGACTCGATACACTCAGTACTCTAATGTCTCCCTCTTGGAAATTTCAATCGGAGGTATTTGGGGAAATATTGAAATCCACTTTCTTAAAATTCCAGGATTTTTAACAAGGACATCTAACTCTTTATGATGAATATGTCCGAATTTTTCCGAATATAAAAACAACCGATCTATTGCACTATTTTCTCGGACTTGGCTCTACTGTACGATTTAAGTGCCTTCTATGATTAAAGATTAATTCGCTGTAAATAGACCGCAAATCGGATCTGTACCCAGACAGATCACTCTTCGAAAATGCATTTATTCTTTAAATATGTCAGCAATAAAAGAAGTTTTACAATGACGAAGCATTAGCATGCATCTCCATGCAATATTTTCTGTACAAAGCTGATTACTTAACTTGTTCAAATAGCATCAGAAGATGATTTCAATCTTAAAAATTGTATAATCCATAACGTAGTTAGAATTGGCGCGTGAGAAGACTATGTCTTCTGTTTCAAACAATAGGAATAAGTGCAGAATAAAACATCCAAAGTTCAATTATTTTGTGAGATGCAAACAAAATCTGTTCATTTGAACCGTTTCAGACACTGACATTTGCAACGCTAATGTGTGACGTTAGAGTGTTCTATAATTGTCTCATGTTAGCGAAAGTCACCATGATAGGTACAACCAATGATACCTGTGGTTGTTGGGTTTTAAGACATTTTTTAACAACTCAGTAAAATTACATTGTACATGCCTAATATTAATTACTAACGCCAATTGACAGAGAAATTGCATCAACGTCTTGTCAACAAAAAGATTGTCTCGGAGTCAGTCAAGCTAACTGTGCTAGCTTATTATTTTACAGTATTATTCTACAGTATTCTTTTATGTAGGTCATCTTTAATCTGGATTTTTAGCTACATGTAACCTGCCCGAAGGGCAAGTGGGCTTACATGTATGCCATGGTGCGGCGTCCGTCGTCCGTCCGGCGTCAATTTTTTAATTTAAACAACTTCTTCTAAATAACCAAGAGGCCTAAGGTGATGATTTTTATTCAGTTACATGTTAGGATAAAGGGTTACCAAGGTTCACCCATTTTCAAGGTCACATGGGTCAAATATGTTGAAATCTTTAACCAACTCCTGAATAGCCTAAGGTTCCAGGGTAATTATATTTGGCCAGAAGCATGCTGGGATGAAAGGCTATAAAGTCCGTTCAACTTGATGTCCTTGTTTGACTTTCAGGGTCACAGGTGTCATATGTTTAATTTGTTTAATATATTCTTTTGATCAAACACTGATATTTTGCCTGTAGCTGTATTTTAGTCCATTTTTAATATTACACTTGTGAGATTAATACCAGGTGAGCGATTCAGACCCAAGAGTGTTTTGTTCATAATACATAAGTATGACACAATTTTTTCCGTTTTTTACTCAATTACATATTCATTTGTCCAGGGCTTTGTTTTTACGAAAACAAGGACGGAATGCCCCACCAATCAATCTAAATCATTTAGATCTGTTTACCCAATGGTTGTCCCCGTGCTTGATTATAACTGGAACTAGGAGGTAAATCCTCATCATTCGATCTTATTCACATACTGTTAATATCTCTTCAGATAGGAGAAAAAATTCAAACGGTCGAATTTGTAAGTGATTGGCGTAAATATTGTCGATGACGTACTTCTTGAATGAAAATGTTCTCATTAATATTCATATATATACAGTCAAGACTTGTTATTTCAAATCGTTCGTTCCACGGTGACTTATTAATTGCAATACTTTCTCGTACATTTATATTATAAATGTAAGTGTTGAAACAAAATGACTGTACATCTCTTTGGACCCGTTTGAAATAAAGCAGCTCGCTTTGAAACCCTGGCCCTTCTAGTTTTATTCTGTCGAAAAGACGTTTGGAAAAGTAGTCATATAAAGCATAGTCCAATTCAGCCCAATGCTTATGAAGTTCTTTGGTGATCGTTTCCATCTTTGGTACTTTTGCGGACCGGCGTTTTCCCGTATTAACACGTCCATGTAGTATATCCTTTAACTTCCAGCCTAGTAGTCTTCGCATCAGAATGATAGATTCGTCCAGGTAATCTGCTACTAACACAATGGTAAATTCCTGATCGAGTTTCCTTAGATATGTTTGTATTTCATCTTCAGTTCTATCGATAAATAACGTGCGCGGAAAGTTAAACTCATAAGCCATTCTATTGTCCAGGAAATTCCCTATGCCAGCTCTGGAAACGTATTTTGTTGGATTACGCAAGAATGTTTTCGCCTTATGAGGTCCTGCAATGTTGAAAAATTCCACTGGGCGAAAGTAGTTGATAGTGGAGAGAAATTGTTCAAAGGGATGTCGGACTATACCTACGTAAACTGTATCCTTGGGCATAAAAGTCTGCATTGCAGATTTGTTATAAATCACGTGACAACAAAGTATGTCATACACTTTCCCGGTTGGAGAACGCAGAACATTTTGCTCGGATACAGAATTAGTCAGACTAATCACATTGCTGTTACTCTTTGGTAGCATAAATACGAGATCTCTTATAGCACCAAACCGTAAAAAGATATTTTGAACTGTAGAACTAGCTGCCTTGTGAACCTTCAGAAATACAATATGACGTGCTTCCGGTTTATCTATTTGTCTTCTATTCGATTCAATTTCCACGAAAGTATCATCTTTTGTTTTGCTTAAACAGAATTGGTCAAATCTATGGTGGTCCTCCCTCATATACCTCGGAAAGCCTCCATACTTGTCAACACGTTTCGTATCGAATATCAACCATCGTAGTGTATAAACCAGAGCCGCAAGACCAAGAAGTCTCACCCTACAAAAATATATATTATAGTTAAATGATATACAACGAAAGTAACTGATCGAAGGAAGTACTTTTTCCAATAAAATATATATATACATGTATATGTAAGTCTTAAATACTGAGTGCTGATAATAAGTTATCCCTTTAGATAATACAGTTCCCTTAGATAGGAAGCATACACAAGTACCATGTCTTTTTTATCATCTCGTCCATGACAGCATTTTTTTAAGGATTTTGAAATTTATTTTCAAAATGCATAGTCCTTTTTTGACATTAAATGCCTTAGGCAAGTAATTCTGGAAACATGCGGGATCCTTCGATAAGATAGGCAATCACATATATCTATATATTGGTAAAGAATATAAATAACGTTTATAAAGCAGAAGTGTTGCTTTAATTTGTTGAAGGCACATTCTATAAAGATGTATTGAAATTATATGCCCTTGCAATTATAATAGTACATTACTAGGTAAGGTAAATATTTAATATCCTAGCAAGACTAAATCATGTATATGTATATAGAGCAGGGTTCATATTGCATCATATGTTCTCTAGCAATTAACATGTATATCATCTAATCAGCATTCAGTGGTGGAGGTGGACTAACACGTCTAACGTACAGTGTGTACTTAAGTATTCCACAACGACCAAAATGTATATCATCTAATCAGCATTCAGTGGTGGAGGTGGACTAAAACACGTCTAACGTACAGTGTGTACTTAAGTATTCCACAACGACCAAAGTGTATATCATCTAATCAGCATTCAGTGGTGGGGGTGGACTAACACATGTCTAACGTACAATGTGTACTTAAGTAGTCCACAACGACAAAATATATATCATCTAATCAGCATTCAGTGGTGGGGGGGGACTAACACACGTCTAACGTACAATGTGTACTTAAGTAGCCCACAACGACCAAATATATATCATCTAATCAGCATTCAGTGGTGGAGGCGGACTAACACACGTCTAACGTACAGTGTGTACCAGTGTGTACTTAAGTATTCCACAACGACCAAAATGTATATCATCTAATCAGCATTCAGGGGTGGAGGTGGACTAACACACGTCTAACGTACAGTGTGTACCAGTGTGTACTTAAGTATTCCACAACGACCAAAGTGTATATCATCTAATCAGCATTCAGTGGTGGGGGTGGACTAATACACGTCTAACGTACAATGTGTACTTAAGTAGCCCACAACGACCAAATATATATCATCTAATCAGCATTCAGTGGTGGAGGGGGACTAACACACGTCTAACGTACAGTGTGTACTTAAGTAGGCCACAACGACCAAATGTATAACATCTAATCAGCATTCAGTGGTGGAGGTGGACTTACACGTCTAACGTACAGTGTGTACTTAAGTATTCCACAACGACCAAAATGTATATCATCTAATCAGCATTCAGTGGTGGCGGTGGACTAACACGTCTAACGTACAGTGTGTGCTTAAGTAGTCCACAACGACCAAATGTATATCATCTAATCAGCATTCAGGGGTGGAGGTGGACTAACACACGTCTAACGTACAGTGTGTACCAGTGTGTACTTAAGTATTCCACAACGACCAAAATGTATATCATCTAATCAGCATTCAGGGGTGGAGGTGGACTAACACACGTCTAACGTACAATGTGTACTTCATATGTTCTCTAGCAATTAACATGTATATCATCTAATCAGCATTCAGTGGTGGGGGGGGACTAACACACGTCTAACGTACAATGTGTACTTCATATGTTCTCTAGCAATTAACATGTATATCATCTAATCAGCATTCAGTGGTGTAGGTGGACTAACACACGTCTAACGTACAATGTGTACTTAAGTAGTCCACAACGACCAAATATATATCATCTAACCAGCATTTAGTGGTGAAGGTGGACTTACACGTCTAACGTACAGAGTGTACTTAAGTAGTCCACAACGACCAAATATATATCATCTAATCAGCATTCCTTGGTGGAGGTGGACTAACACGTCTAACGTACAATGTGTACGTAAGTAGTCCAGAACGACCAAATGTATATCATCTAATCAGCATTCAGTGGTGGAGGTGGTCTAACACACGTCTAACGTACAGTGTGTACTTAAGTAGTCCACAACAACGAAATCTATATCATCTAATCAGCATTCAGTGGTGGAGGTTGACTAACATACGTCTAACGTACAGTGTGTATTTAAGTAGTCTACAACGACCAAATGTATATCATCTAATCAGCATGTGTACTTAAGTAGTCCACAACGACCAAATGTATATCATCTAATCACCATTCAGTGGTGGAGGTGGACTAACACGTCTAACGCACAGTGTGTACTTAGTAGTCCACAACGACCAAATGTATATCATCTAATCACCATTCAGTGGTGGAGGTGGACTAACACGTCTAACGCACAGTGTGTACTTAGTAGTCCACAACGACCAAATGTATATCATCTAATCACCATTCAGTGGTGGAGGTGGACTAACACGTCTAACGTACAATGTGTACTTAAGTAGTCCACAACGACCAAATGTATATCATCTAATCAGCATTTAGTGGTGAAGGTGGACTAACACGTCTAACGTACAGTGTGTACTTAGTAGTCCACAACGACCAAATGTATATCATCTAATCAGCATGTGTACTTAAGTAGTCCACAACGACCAAATGTAAATCATCTAATCAGCATTCAGTGGTGGAGGTGGAATAACACACGTCTAACGTACAGTGTGTACTTAAGAAGTCCACAACGACCAAATATATATCATCTAATCAGCATTACTTGGTGGAGGTGGACTAACACGTCTAACGTACAATGTGTACTTAAGTAGTCCACAACGACCAAATATATATCATCTAATCAGCATTCAGTGGTGGAGGTGGACTAACATACGTCTAACGTACAGTGTGTATTTAAGTAGTCCACAACGACCAAATGTATATCATCTAATCAGCATTCAGTGGTGGAGGTGGACTAACACGTCTAACGTACAGTGTGTACACATACTCACCAAAACCAGAAGCGGGGCATTCTCACAAACACGATTTCATTCCACTTTACTTGTATTTGATCATATATCTTCAGTATAACCCATATTAAAAGTATGTTCTAGTATCATAACATCCTCATATTTAGTAACAAAACATGTCGACAAGCGAGGTGTGCTATTTATATTCATTGTTATTCAAATTATCTACTTTTTCGTTTTAAATCACTGCTTTTCGAGCGTCTGTAAAGCATGCCTCAGTAATCAAACACAACGACGGGATTGTAAGCCGTTGAAGGAACATTGTGTATATCTATTCATGAATAAATTCCTCGTATAAGGACTCATGGGCTTGCCATTTTAGTTATCTGTAATTAAAGTGAAATAAACGTTAAATTGCATTTTTATTATTGCAGTCACGTTGACAAACATGTATTTTTGTGGAAATCATATAATTTTACAAAAATGTATGACAGGTAGTCAAACTTTGTCCATTAAGCCCCGCTCGCCTACCAGCACGACTACTAGTAGAATGATCAAGATCAGAGTTGATGACAAAGTTATGGTTGGCCGGTCATTGAAGTTACAGAGCATAAATAATCAAGTAACGTGAATAACGCTCAAAATAACAATATATCGAGGATCATGTCAAACACAAGTGTGACACCGAACAACCGATGGACATATCATAGACCACCATGTAAAACACTGCCAAAATATGAGGTCCGAACGCCTTTTTTCAAGGTATTCACGTGGAACATTCTTAATCACTTTTAACTTGTCCCTGGGTTGTGTATGACACCGACAGCGATTGCTTCCTTTAATCAAGTGGTAAACATACGCAACGACATTTTATAAACAAAGTTTAACTTAACTGGAAAATAATACGACTTTCATATCCCAATGAAAAACCATATTGCGGCAATTACTTGACCGATAAATATTTGCTTCTTTTGTGATGAAGTACGTTATCACATCGTGTGACGTCAAATATACAAACGGTGCATGTTGAAGAAGACTGTGAACAAGTGTGATGGTCGGCAGTTCTTGTTCCGGTTATAAACTAACGAAAAAATTAGTTTTGTCAGTAATTTTGAAAAAAAGTAAAGAAACTTAAAGCAAAATACTGTTTTTCATGTTTACATTTGACTTTTTGATCGTTTGACATGATTTAGCACAGAATCCTTGCTTGAGCATGAAAACTTTATGAATACGGTCCCTGGTCTTATTACTTTTGTTTTGAATTCCAGTTATGTTTTGATGACACTACGGTATTTTCCTGTTGTTTGTTTTTATTGTGTGCAATGTAGCATACCAATTTCATCAAAATTTAAGATATTTGTAGATCTACTAACATTAGATAATGTTTGTTATCGCTAATTGAATTGGTAACTTCATGCTTTACTTATTCTTGAATACATTCTGACATGGTTTCTAACTGCAAGGTTTAATGATTCTTGAGTTTGTTATGGCATGGGGTACATGCGAAATCAGTTTGAAAATATCATTATGTTTTGTAACTTTGAAATAGAAAGGCATCGTCTCCCTTTCTTGTTCGTGTTTAACTACGTATGTTTAAAGAAGCTGAAGATATGGACATATTTTACAATATATGGATTTCTGTATCGAGTTACTATTTACTTACTTTGGCCATATGCCCATGTCTCCAGTGAAGAGATACAGTGGAGAAACTGTATTTCATAAGTATTTTATATAAATTTTAACTTTACATATATATGCCTTTTATATCAATTTGTGAAGCGCTTCATCAGGATAAAGCGCTACATTTGAAAATAACTATAATTATCATTCGTACTGCAAGTAAATTCCTTTAAGCCACAATCGAACTGATTGATACATTACGCTATTTAAAACCATATCCCGCCATTCGATCAGTATTCGTGCTAATGCCCTGCATGTAAAACAAGGAATCTTCACTGGGCAGCATAGCAGACGGCGGTGCATCGATCGTAAGGTCACAAGTACGGATTCCGCAGAGGGCAGGATGATGATGATGATGATGATGATGATGATGATGATGAAGAAGCAATGCTTATGATGATGATGATGATGATGATGATGATGATGATGATGATGATATTCTTATGTATGGCCCTTATTCAAAACATAAAATACAGGTCATGTATGTTGTCATGTTATTAATTTTATGTTAAAAACACAATTGAGATTTAAAATAAAAACACAAAATAAACATATTAAAAATAAAACCAAGTTCAACTTTTCATAATGCTTTTTAGGTAATCGCATCTAAGGTTGTTCCACCATTAAATAGCTAATGGTTTGCTTTGTAACGACTCAATGCCTATCAGGGTATAAAAAGCGAGTTATCTGTTAAACAAGTTATATTTTGTTTTTCATATACTCATACTCAACACGGCACAGCTATACACTTGTACAGTTTCTATTTATTTTTCTTCCAACCTTTTGCTCTTCAGATCATTAAAATAATGTTGTAAATAATGAAGTTATTATAAACAACGAGTTTAACATATTGTCAAAATAGACCTTATAAAAATGTTCAATTCACAAAAGATGAAATAGTTGACTCCGAAAAAATAATGAAACGTCTGCTTTGGAGATCTGTTTTGTTTATTCGACCAATATGCAGCAAGAGTGAAGTTTTGTGAATTATGTCTTTAAACTTCTATTCCGAATTATTTCCATTAGAATAGCACATTGGTTTAAACTTTGTTTTATTCAAATTTTGTTTGACAATACATCGAAATACATGTTTTATAAAACAGAAAAGGAAACAAAAACAAGTGTCGTGACACTTATGTAAATGTGTTACCTGCTTAGTAATCAGCTTTTCAACACTAGCTACAAGAATGAAGTAATATGTACAATAGAATTATTGAATAGCACATTGGTAAAAGCTCACACAGTTGACAACATACCTCGGACATTCGCATTTTAACAGCTGATTTACTATATAATAATAATTATTATAATTCGAGGTTTTTGATGTACTGCTTTATCACAACCTAGTTCGTAGGTCGTCTCAGATAGGTTCACAAATTATTATCCGTGGTTATAGGGTCTTTGCAACCAGCCAATATCTTTCTCAACTCTCTAAAGAGAATACTGCTGGTGCTGCCAATTTCGGCGCTCACAGCTAGCATTCAAACATTCTAGCAATGCCCAACCACGTACTCATTTACAGCTGAGTAGACTGGAACAAACGGAGTAAAGTATCTTGCTCAAAGATACAACACAGTGCTGTGCCGTGACTCGAACCCACAACCCTTCGTTCACGAGCCCGGTCCCTGCCACTAGACTACCGTGCCTCCTATGTTAGAAATATCAGCGATTTGATAGGTTATGTGCCTTTTATAATCAGAGGGCCCTGAGTGGTTAGCAAGCAAACGCAAATATCGGCGCGTCCTTGGATACGATACGATACGACAGCCGTAGAGGACTTCGATGGGATACATCTTCAAAGCAGTCGAAAACTGAAACTATTTTTTTTTATTGGAAGATTTTCAACTGACACAGTCACTTTTAAAGTTTAAATTTGGACAAGTGCACAAGTAGATTTAATACAATGTAACATATATGCTGATTAGCACATATGCATTGACTATTATCTGTAAAACACAGAAGAGGACTTCCTTTATTTGACGCTTGGACAGGTTGCTTTCTCAGTCTAACATTTCTGAACAGATAATGATAGTCTAAATAGGATTTCAAACATTCTATAACTGATGAGGACTTATTTAGTAACTTCAGCTTGTGTATTAGAATTTAGGGTTTACTAGGACAAAGGTTATACGAAGCACTATGACATGAGACTTTCTTTGTTCTTTCCGTTTTATAAGTACATACATCACTGCGGTCGGAGTTAGAATCATTGTTGTGTGTTCCGACTCCCAAAATCTCGTACTGTGACCTATGGAAACCGGTGCGTTGGAAGTGTTTCGGCCACGTTATCGAATAGCTTACCATCTGCTATTAGAAAGTCAAATACCCTGGCCAAATTCAAGAGGGACATCAAAACTCACCTTTTCACGTCTGCATTTTAGGGTCTCTGCAAAGACGTCATGTAAATACCAACCTTTATTTGTTCAATTATGTGCAATTGTATAAACGTGATTGTAAGCTTTTGATTTTGTTTCACAATTATAACAATTACTACTATCCATATGTTGTATAGCGCTTTAGAGCAATTTTACAAATTCAATAGGGTGGTATATACATGTTGTATATTATTATTATATGAAAATTTTACAGATTTGTTTACGATTATGTTAAAAGAGAAATAACTCATTTGAATAAGGTCATGAGAAAAAGCATTTAAGATCCGAAAGGTCTTATTTACCGATGATTCCTAGAAGAACGAATCAGCTGTATGGCGCAGCGTAATATATTTTTGGCAAACTGTATTTATTACCAAATGTTAAAGGTACAGCCACCGGTGTGGTGTCTGCTACGTTCGTCTCACAAGTTTAATAAAGACATACAATTGTTTATGACTAATTTAAAGAGAAGTTTGTTATGTTGAACCTAACATGCTGGTTACCATCATATAAACAATCGATAATGTAGTTATGTTTGCTCCGCGGGCTTGTTGGGTTAACAGTTGTCTAAGGCCAGTATATGATATGTTTTTATCTGTGCTCCATGTTAGGTAAAACTAGTCCATGTTACAATTTTTAAATCTTAATTATTTTCATCTCATCCCTCAATCATGATATCGAAAGAGTTTACCTACAAAATTTAGTTGAACCCGAGACCGAATGGGATACATTTGATTTCCATATGTGATATGAAGGCCGATGTTATCGATTATGCTCAGATTTGTGACGTGTTGTTTCATTGTAATTAATGTTATTCGCGCTTTGCAGACATGACTTTCATTTCATTTGACCTAGATTCCCATGGCGTGTCGTCAATGAAGCAGCAGATGCTTAACCTTGCGGAACACCTGGCCTGATTGTAAATGCCTTTATACATTTCCCCTTGGTTTTATCTATTTTGAGTTCGAATAGTGGTTTGGTTGACACTGTGTGACCGATAATAAGGGGTTGGAAGTATGGAACAGCATGTGGATCTGTGCTGACACTGTACCAGTTATTTCATTTTTACCCGAATTCTTGTCTTGACATACATTTGTATACAACACCACCAAAGTGGTTG